ATCAAGCATATGATAGATATAATCGACACATGGTTTAGGGTTTATGTATCTACAATTATTCGTTTTTGCATTACAACAAAATAAGAAAATCCCTACACGATAATAATCGAGTGAATATCTAATGTTACTTATTTATTGACCTCTTATCATTATAAAATTGAAATATTATACTTAGGAAATGATCCAAATTATTATAGTTGCATTAATTAATAATGTGTATAATTAGTCGGAAAGAGATTATTATCATTTTTAAATTTTTTATAAACACAATATTGATAAAATGAGATAACAATAAATATTTTGTATTATACTTGTAAAAATACTTATTTGTGTAATTTAGTGGCCAACTTCATTATAAAATTTAGTTGTATTGCTATAATTGAATATTGGTTAGGTTAGGTTAGTGTCTCGTCTTTTTGGACCCTAAGGTTTCTGTAGTCATAAATAATAATAAATTAATTACAATTGAAAATTTAGTTATTTTATTAATTTTATCCGTTACAAACTTAATATTTCACATTCACAGTGATGAACCCTTTTTCATCCTTTTGTAAAGAACATTGACTTTATCCACGTGTACTATACTTTATCATGCTACACTAATGATTTTTATTTCCATATCTAATAAGCGGGTAGAACACGATTCCGCACGTTTAATGTTTGATATTAGGTATCAGTGTTAGGAAATATCTAGATAAATTTATCTAGATAAAGTTCTAGTTGTCTATGAGTACACATCTAGATAATTTATTTGTGGACTTCCAAAAAAAATTGTTAAGTTATTTATATTTACGTAATTTTCTGTATACCGTATACCTATTACACGGGAAACAAACATTTGGTAAAATGTATTATCATATCAGGTATTCCAATAAGAATGTTTATTATAAAACTGGAATTTCACATCGTAAATATTGAAACAATCTAAAAGTATAATATTAAAAATATGTCATGTTACTTAGTAACTTGAGAGAGCAACTAATAATAGCAAAATCGAAAACATCTATCTCTGCTGCCTGTATGACGATGGTCGTCTACATTAGCTGATACTCATTTCATAAAATTGTGTATAAAAATATGTAAACAAATAATAATCATCAATAGGTACTCATTGTGTTGAGCCGACGAAAATAAAACAACATTCATGGACACACAAGCAAAACATATTTATATATATTATAAACTTATAAATCTTATATTTATAATATATACATAGTGATCATTACTCATTTTTTATTAGTGGTAGTTATTAATATTATTCCCAGTATTCAGAACTCACCGTTCTCAGTTATCACTTAACAACAAACTCAGTAAATTACTATCTTGATTCTTCGTCAATGAAAAATTGTTGAAGAACTACGATTTTCTTGTTATTTTTATTTCGTTTATTTGTTTATTTTAATTATGAGACGGTTTGTACAAGTTCTAAATGCTGACCCATCGAAAATCCAAAAAATAGACAATGATTCAAGTACGCAATCAACCGAAGAATCAACTAACTATCTGATAAATACTTCAAAATTGAAGTAAAACTATAAATTATGCAAATCTACTAGCAATATCTTTACTAAGTTAAAACAAAAGAGACAGACACTTTAAATCAATACCCTATTATTAAAGAGGTATTCCTAAAATATAATACTACTATCCATCCTCAGCACCAGTTGAGGCAATTCAAGTTTTAACACCTAGGTGTCACAGGTCAAACGATAGAACTTTGGATATGATTTTATGTTGTAGATCAAATATAGCTTAAATCATTATTTTTTTTTACAAGTGTAACCTTATTTGTGTAATTATTTGTCTAGTCAGAGAATGCCTCTTCATATATTCCTATGGAGTTTATTTAAAAAATAAATAATTTTGTGTTAATTATTAAAATGTTTTAAATGAGTTTAAAAAGACATTTATTTTATATTTTCAATAATGTTACTTTATTTATTTAACTATTAATTAAGTCAGAAAATGACTCTTCGTATATTCTTATGATTTTATGAAGTTCATCTATAAAATAAACTCGGTGTACCCTTTTTTAAAATGTTTTAAATTATGTAATTCTCTTTTTAATACCTTTACCACTGAATATTTGCAAAATTAAACATGAAAATATCTGATATTTCTAGATAAATATTTATTCATTATTATCTTTATCTCGATAAAATTTAGTTTAGTTATCTTTATCTTTATCTAGATAAAATTTAGTACTGTTATCTTTATCTTTATCTAGATAAATTATTAGTTATCTATTCCCAACACTGTAATAGGTTAATAGGTACCTTTTTTTCTACACTACTCTGTACTGTATTCGAATGCGACGTTGCCATGTTAAGAATACGATTCAGCACGTTTTTTTCCTTGTAACATGATATTGATACTATTAGTGCATATTATTTAGGTACCTGAACTTTTCCACCTCTTTACCATGACATTTCAAGTACAAACTAATTAAAAATAAGATAAGTTGGGTCTTTTGATAAAGTCTATAAAGATAACAATATACATTAAATTAAATGTGTTCAATATAATATGTCAACCAGCTTATTTATCTGAATTTATTATTTTATTTATTACTTTTAGCTATCTAAGTAATAATTCTTGTTAGTTAGTACCTTCTATATGGTGTTGTGTATCTCGGCGGCAAATGGACATCGTATAGTGCGAAGGCGAAACTATAATGGTTTTGGTATACCACATTTTACCGATCATATATTTGTTATGTAACCTAACGTTATAACTATAATCTCATAATGTCGAACTCATTTTGATACATTTCCCACAATAAATGTTAATATATTAGTTGGTTGATGTGGTCAGCAGGGCAATGGTTAAATATTTAGTACAGTCTATTCAGAACTGTCTAGTTAAAACGCAACACGTCACGCGTGTATATATAGTTCAATAATAAGTTATATTAATTTCGAGAATTTTCTATAATTTATATTTCTACGGTGTTAAAATGTATAAGTTAATAGATAGGCATGGAGAATCCATTAGAGATAATAAAATCTGAAAAGGGCAACGATTTAGCTTTGGTTAATACATGTAAATATCGGCATATTCGTTAACGAAATGACAGAAAAGTGAAATTTAGGTGCATACATGCAACATATTGTACTGCAAGTATTTTAACTGACCCGGAGCACATAATTTTATTGGAAATGCTGGGAGAACAAAATCTTACAATATAGATAATGTAGAAAAAATCCAACGTCAAACTTCGCGAGAAAATTGTAAAAGAAAAGCTAATGTCATGATTTCAGTAAGACCATCAAAAACTATAAGAACTGAGCTTTTAAAAGGTGATTTTGAAGTACCTCTTAATTATATTAAATCTGTTGGAAAAATTATGTATGATTTACGTCAAAAAGATTACCCAACATTTCCACAGTCTTTAAATAGTCCTATCATACAACTTAAAGAAATGCAAAATGAAGATCGCCTGAAATTTAAAAACAAAAAGTTTATTCATGTTCCTGAAAATCAAAACTCCATTTGTATTACCACGAGAAAAAATATTAATTCACTTATGACAAATCACAGTGTGAGGATATATTTATTAATGGCACATTTGAATACACTCCTAAGTATTTTTTACAACTTTATGCAAGCACTTTATGCATAAAAATGGATTTTATATACCACTTGTATACTTCTTTTTACCAGATAAATGCGAAGAAACTTAAATGTGGACATTTAAAAAAAAAATATGTTTTGAACATTTATCCACAAGACTATGTAAGATGTAACCACATGTCATTCTACTCGTTACATGTGGATTTTGAAAAAGCTCCACATGAAGCCGTGAAAACCTTGTTCCCTGGAATAGTTATCAATGGGTGTTGATTCCATTTAGGTCAAGCATGTTGGCGAAAGGCAATTAAATAATATTATTACTTAATTTTTAAAATTTTTATATTTTACGTAAGAGACACTCCGTTTAATAATATCACATCAATTTGTAATTTAGATACAAGAACACAATATTTTAAGAACTTCATATTTGATGGATGGAGATGAATTAGGCATTTGGTTAAAATCTTTTTTTTTACCATTTCTCCCATTGAAAAAGATTGAAGAAGGATTTTTAGAACTCATGAGTCATGATTACGTGTTCAAATAAAAGTGAAGGCTATACCTATATTTTCTGATTACATACTTAAATCGTACATAGAACCTGGTTGTCTAATTCCACCTGAATTATGAGCAAGTGAACCTTCAATTACTCCAAGGTAACATACATTTAATTTTTTATAATACATTTTATTTAGAGATATAAAAAAAAATTGTTTTGTTAGAACCACAAATGGAGCAGAAAGTTTTCATAAAATGTAGGTACAAAAGACGATTTCATAGTGCTCATCTCCCAACGCATGTAGTGATATTTGTACTAATGGAAATACAAGCCGAAACTATGACAAAAATTAATTAAATTGCTAGAAACGTGAACAATAAAATGGAATCATCCGATTTAAAACGTATACATAACGTTAGACAACATTTCAATAATTATAAAATACATAAAACTATTATAAAATATAATACATATATTGACTTTATGTGTCAAGGGAAAAAATTATATTAAATTATTTTACATTATTTTTTGTAATGACAGATCACTATTTATTAGATTTAATTAGATAGTTATTTTAGATCATATTTATTTTTTGTAATGACGGCTATGAGATTGTAATAAACCGTTTGCAATAAATTTGACAACGTTGCATTCAATTCATATGAACAATAAAGTGTGCGGAATCGTGTTCAAAAAAAAAAAAACATACGGAATCGTATTCTTCTCAAATAAGAGTAAATTAGGACCATTATTAACAAACTATCAAACATCATAAAAAATCCCAAATTCACCACTGACATCGACGACTCATAATGAATCTAAATATTACGTTTACCTTAAATAATTAATACACATCATTGTAAAACGTAATACATTCATTGATCCTCGTTGAATCTAAAAATCATAAAATAGTTGTATTTCTACAAGGTTTTTTTCATGTTGTATGTTGTTTTTATATTTAAATATTGCTTAATGTAAACGAAACATACATAATTAAGAAAAATTATAAAGCTGAATACAAACATAGCTGAAGACCAGTACATAAACTAAAATTATTTTGCTAACAAAGAAAAAAAGAAATGAAGGTTTCATTCTTCCCCATCATAAATACATTTTTTTAAACCATTATGAACGAAAAAATTCTTAGTTATGTTTGTGATAACTTTTTTCAAATGAATCATTATCAACTGATACTTTCAATACATTCATGATCTATGGTGGGTTTGAACAAGACCCTAACAATATAATTTGAATCAAGTTAAAATATTTAAAAAACAATTTAATTTTTACTATACAGCTTCATATGGAATAACAGTTACTAAACCGTGAAAAAAAGAAATGATGGCATTATTGTTTGGAATGACTGTCCTACAGAAATAGTCAACCGGCTTTTGATCAAACAAATCTGAAAAATAAGTATTTTAAATTTATTGATTGTGTGCATTAGTTTGTCCTACCACAAACTCGTAAAGGTAGAGTGTTAATGTATACAAACTACAAAGATACATTTTTCCAGTTAACTAGGTAAAATGTTATTCAACATAAAGTGATTGTAATTATTTTTACAATGAAAAATAGACATTTTCAACAATGACAAATTAAAATATAATATTTAAATTTTACGATTTTGATAAATCTAACCAATACTTACTAAATACTAAAAGACATTTTTATTAAAATAAATTAAAAATACTAAAAAAAAAATTCAAAAACATATGATACGAAACATAATATTATGATAACCGAGACTCGCCTAATGTCCCTTTGAAAACTTGTTCTTATTACGCAATATATCTACTTTTGAGATGGACACAACACACAACAATGAGTTTATACTCTCTTTCTATTGCACTACTAGAAATATTATCCGAGGAATGTTTAAAGGAACAAAGAATATTCCAGAATTTTTTCCCTACAACTAGAGTAAATCACATAAAAATATATAATCATATCATATCTACCTGACGAGTAGAGCGCAAATGTAAATTTTGCAGTTTAAATTATTATTGAAATAAAGGAATAATTTAAAATATTGTCTTTACGCTGACAACTGACATTTAAGATTAAGAATGTATCTAAAATTTTATTTTTATTTTTCAAATTAATATTATTGTTTTTAACTCAGCGACTCTACGTGTGGACGCACCACAGCGACCACAACGGGTGAGCGAGCCTACAGCGTACAACGTGTTTCCGTCCGATAAGAGCCGCCGCCGCCGCCGCTGTTGCAATACTCAGCCCACAACCTCTACCATTTCGACACAAGTTGGTGTTATGCAGAGTGACGGACTTAACTGGCTCATCTTGTTTCGTGTCCGTGCCGTCAATTGATGAATGTTATCAAAACTGTTTAACGCCTTACCGAGACAGAACAATTTTGTCAATAAGAATGTTGAATTATGTATAATGCCAAACACATGACATCTCATCTTCAGCGATTAAAATATTATGTCCCCAGGGATAGCCAGTTCTTGTTATGTCGTTTACTTGAGCTTTAAAGATCTATGAGATAACTGAGTAACCGTTACTATCATTTTACTATGTGAAACTGAAAACATTCTCCTAGAAATGTTTCCAAGAATAAGAGATGATCCCTAAATAATACTCCACTTTCAGGGAAATAATTTCAAAGAAACTAAACAGCTTAAATAATTATTCTAGTTAAAGTATTATTTAAAATTCAGCCATTACAAGACAAACTGACATTGTTTATCTTGAATTTGATTAATATAATATTAAAACAACAAAAAACATTTTTGGAATCAATCTGTAATGGTTTAGTTTATAGTTATATATTTTTGTGCGGCAGGTCATTTACCACTACAAGTTTAATTAAACAAACGACAGTGTTTAAAAAAATACTTTAATATTTAACATAAATTACTGGACTTTTGGATATTTGCGGTAATAATCTAAGCTATAACAGCAATTATTTTATTAGCTTTCAAAAAATAAGCAGCTTTTTAATTGTTTCAGTCTATAACCCTATAATTGGATCCTCCCTACGCTTCATATTAGTTATTATAGAATACTTTTTAGGAATAAAAATCATAAGGCTAAAACCTTTAGCAAAATAAATCTATTTACTCACTGTCATTATCTGGAATAAAAAAATTTTGTAATCAGAAAAAATTATAATCTGTTTTTGAATAATGCAATTGTTATCAATTTTAACATAACTGTTCATCGAGACAGAAAAATGTCATCCAAAAGAATATTCTGCAATCTACAACACCCGAAACATGACTATAACCTATTAAATTAATAAATTGTATCCCAAGTGATAACCTGTTCTTGTTATGCTATTAATGTGAGCTGGAAAAATGTATATAGATACTGAGTATTCGCTACTCTCACTTCATGATGATCACTTTTCATGTCGTCGTTTTATTTGTTTTTCAATCAACGTTGACTAAAGTTTATAATTAGGTACGTCGGGAATCAATTTAATACAATTCTACCATATGTTTTAACGTTATCGAAATGGTATTCGCATGTGCATGCTAAACCAGGGTTCAAAAGTGAAGCATTAAAGTGATTGCCTTAAAAGTAATGTTTGCAAAGAAACCAGTAAATAGTAGTTTAATGATAGTTGAGATGGCTATTTATCAGCAGCTTGACCTCGAAGGACAAAATTACTATGGCAAAATATTCCTATTGAAACAAACACGAGTTATCTTAACGTTTGATGGTTGCTTTTCAAATTTAAACGAGGCTGAGATTTTAATGCCAACAAATTAAAGAATATATTTTTGATAATATTTCTGTATTAATGGAAACAGTTGATATAGTCAAGTTTGTGCGGAATGCTTTTGAAGAGAAACTAGAATTCATTGATGGAGATGGTAAACAAATATGTTTCAATTTAGTGGCAAAATTATTATTGATTCTTTAGAATGAAGGCTATCATCTTGCAAAAAAAATTAATAATTAATCATGTATTAATTGCATTGAAAATAAAAAAGGTATCTGCAAAGACAATTTTAAACAAGGGTTTGAATTAACAAGTCGATGACTAATTATATAAGTGGACTAAAAGTGACAAACTTTGTAAGAAGAATATACACCTTCATAAAACTAACACCATTTATAAAAGAAAACTGAATACGTACCTCGGTGCACTGGAATAAAACAAAAATTGTAGTTTGGTATTAATTGGTATTATTTAAAATCAAAATTTTGATGAATTTCACCAAGACTGTATACCCTCTTAACGAGACATAAAATAATATTAAATATAATATTCAATTATGTATTATACCCAACACATGATACCCCATCCTCGATACTTACTGTCTTCGGGGATAAACAATTGTTGTTATATTATTTACATGAGCTGGAAAAATCTACGAGGCAACTGAGAAATCATTATTCTCATTTATAGATGTCCCACTAGGAATATTTTCCAAGGAACATTTCCGGGAGTAAGAAATTACACCTAAATTCTAATCCACCTCTCGGGGAAATCCCATCAAAAAAACTAGCCAGTTAAAATAATTACTCTACTAAAGATATTATTTATAGTCCCATCATTACACGGCTAGCTGACATATGTATGGCGAATTTAATTTATACAATACCAGCTTATCCCGTGTACTTCGTCGCCCATTAAAAATGACAACTCTATATGAGACGTGCTTGTGGTAATGTGAGCAGTATATTACGAGGTATCCCGTTATTTGCATATTCCATCTGAATAATATGTTTTATTTTTTATTTAAAATGTAGAAAAGCCGATGAGCGGCTAAAATTACAAAGCAGACACCTTGGTATTCAATGTGTGAAAATTCTATTGGTTGCATGCTCAAACCTGATATGTCCGATTGGCCAATTTCAATAAAAAAATAAAAAAGTACTAATTTATTCAAAAAATTAAGAAAGTTGCACGGAAAAATAAACTTGCAAATTCTTAACCTAAACCCATATTTCACGGCATTTCGGCCCGCGGGTTTCCAGCTACCCACAACCTGACCATTTTGTCCATCAAAATAAGTATTCTTGTATATTTTTGACTTGAACCATTGAGACTTCTGCGACTTAAGTTATGTTAAGTACGGTACGTCTAATTAATGGCGTTTTTAAAAACAATAAATATTCCATCAAAACTTTTACCTAAACTGCTTAAAATATTAAGCGTGATTGCTTTGAACAAACCATGATAATCACACACTTATCAAAAAACTCACTGTACATTTTTTCATTAATTTTCCGATTCATTCAACTGTGAAATGTGCACTAACTGCAGGGATCGAAACTGGTTAAACCGGCTTAAAACCGGTTAAAACCGTTGTTTCTTCATTCTTAAACAGGAACCGAAACCAAAAGCTTTAAAACACCAGTAAAATCCGTAATCGAAACCTTTAAGACATTACAAAAACCGATTAAAATTTGAAACTAATATCGGTTTCTTTGAATTTTATAAAGTTAATTATATTATTTATTATTCTAGTATTTTTATACGAAGAAAATATTATGTTCGAATTTATTGAAAAAAATTCCGAGTGTAACAAATAGTAGGTAATATGAATAATATTCTATTTATTATTTATATTTCATATTATTACTGAACTTATTGATTCAAAATTACAAATACAAAAATTATTATTTTGTTTGGGCCCTGTGCGGCTACTCACGATTGTATTTTTGTAATTTGAAGTATTTGTATATATTATTATTAATTAATGATATTAAAATTTATTGTTAGTATTCGGCCGATCAACGTCCGTCCCGCGCAGTCTTCAATCGCGTATCGTCATTCTCATCAGTCTCCGATTTGTGCTTAAACTGTGTAAATGTTTATTTTATACCTATTGTAATAAAGTGTGCTGTTATTGTAATATTAATGTAATCGAATAATGATATCAACCATAATATGACAAAATAATATCAACCAATGATTGATTTTACATAATATTATACATGAATTACAAATTAAGATATAACACAAAACACTATTTAATTTTGAATTGAATACAATAGTATTACAGCGTACTTATTAAAAGTGTGCCTAGTAATTATTTCTCTTCGTTAATCTGTACAATATTAAACAATTACAATTACGAACATACAATGAAAAGTAAAAACACATCAATGATACTTTTGGTTGTTGATGACATTTCTTCCTATAATTGTTTAGTTGAAAATTTAATGTTTAGTCAAGGAAGTTATTAAATAGTTGAAATATCTTATTTATGTTTTGATGAATTATTGTACTACATATTGTACTAGTGACTGGTGTATAAAAGTTATGTAGTTTTATTCATATTAACTTACTTTGTTTAATGGATTGCATGTCCGTATTTTCAATTTTTAAAGAATGTTCAGAAGGGTAGGTTTTGTTACTGCCATCAGTTCAATTAGGAACTTATAAAACTATTTGTATCAGACTCAAATTTATTTAATTCCAAAATAATCTAATATTAAGTTAAATAAAAACCATTGAACCAATAAAAAAAAACATTATTTTATATTATTATTTTGGGTAAACACTGGATGTAATCCTTAAATACCTAATTTTTGTTCTATTAAAAAAATAGAAAACTTATATTACAATATCGTCCTTAGCACAATTGTTTAAATAAAATATTACACATTTTAAATAATATACAAATAGTATAATGAAACAATCACGATTAAAGATATAATCATATAATTATTTAGAGTGGTTTTTTACTTTTGTATTAAAAATAGTACTTTCTGATAAAAGCAGTAAAATGAAAATATTATAAGTGATAACTGTATAAAAAAAATTATTGGCTACAATTTAAATAATGAGCACTTTGTCCGTAAAATCAATTATTTTTGAACAATTAACAAAAAAGTAGAAAACTACGTATGTTCTACATAGGAAAATAGGGCCAGAAACAACTAGCGCTGTAGTTCACGTCGTGGCCACCACCCTTGGTCGATCTGTTTTTCAGCACAGTCTTAGATCATATACAGTGGATGGAGCCATTCACATATCGGCCTTGTAAACAATTTGAAGCACGTCATATAACCACAGAGTCTGACATTGATGTTTGATGTGCGCATGCGCGAGGCTAGCTGTCGCATATTTAGTTGTTGATCGCTGATTGATAAATGTGCCATGGTTATCCCTTGCGCTTGTGCACATCAAACATCAATGTCAGAGACTCGTCGTTTATATGTGCTTTAATACATCGTGGCATGTGTAACAGTACACCGCCGTACAGCATAAAACGGTCCTTTTCAGGACCACCGAACGTAGCACAGCATGACGGCACAACCCGTTAGAATAACTTTGCGCCCTCATAACATTGCCGCAAAGTTAATCTACACCATTAAGAACAAGGGCTACATGTAGGGGAGACCGAGACGTGTCAAAGAACACCATCCCCATACCCATAGCCCCAAAACCATGCAGACAACACTACCTCCCACACACAACGTAAACACAACAGCAACGGCGGCAACACAGGGTTTACTAGTAGGTACGAGACACAATATACGTATAAACCGGTCGTTTTCACCGCACTGGCATTCAGTGTTCCTTCAATCTAAAAAACCTTCAACCATTTAAAGACCAGAAGAAACGAAGACCAGAAGACCCGACAATCTCACATGATCGCTACAGAATACCGACGACCAGCAAACAGCTAGAACCAACGACCAACTGAACAGCCAGAACTGACGAACGCCTGCCGCAAATCAAATCCGCATCATCAGAGATCGCCGCCACGTAGCTACCCCAATTACCAACCACGGCGTGCAATCGGCACTAAGAGCCCCACAGACTAAACTTGAATACGCCCAGAAGACCAGGTCGCAGGAAGCAGCCCGCGGCATCGTGCACGGTGAATCAGCCACAGAACCGCCGTCCCGACAGCAAGCACCGCCACCGCCGACTCTATCGATCGAGGACCAATAAACTGTATTCCCCTTCCTTCCCCCCTACGACTACTTAATCAAATTGTGTCGAAACCCGGATCTAGTATACCACAGTAGCCGCTTCCTGGGAGTCACGCGCCGTGGTATACTGATCCCGTCCATACGACGGGTTGTAACCGTCCGTTTCTCCCCATACACGCACACTTTCCTTATAATGTACTGTACGGCCTGGCAACTGACGGCCGTGCCGAGCT